GGCAGCCCAGTGACCACTCTGGGGAAGGATATCCTCTGCCCTTCCTGTATCTTTCCACAGTGAGGAAATAATTCAGACAGGATGGGCATTTAAGCATAGTGATGCACAATTTGGAGGATTGAGTGAGTTGGAAAAAAAACCCAACCCCAAGTTCTTTTTGTCTTGAGTGAATCAGTAGAGTCCCTTGGATTTAGGAGCATCTGAATAATTCAACCAGATAAAACAAATATTCCATGGAGAAGCACTGAAATGTATAAGACCCCAAGTAAAGCTTTTAGAGGCTTGTGACTTTTTATTATTGCCAGAATTTCAGGAGGATGAATAACTTTAAGCAAAATGATATCTCCTTTTGGCAGAGACTTTGAACTGGCATCTGAACTTTGCTGTCATTAAGGGAAAAGAGAGACTGTTAACCCCAGTGCTTTTTTCTGTTGTATTCTTCTCAGGTCATTGTACTTCACTCATTACCACATATTCGGGTAACTTCCAGCAGTGCATTAAGTAATGCAGCTAACATCTGTTGTGTATTTGTTCTCTTGCCTACTCCCCAGAGGAGAGGTGTATGCAGCAGAGGGTCTTGTTTTGGAATTTTCTTTTTATAAATTTTAAATGGTCTAACATGCACACATAGCAGTATGTGTACTTATAAGGCAAGGTCAAGGTAATGTGCCTTTTACTTGCAGCGGAAAGTCATGAGGTTTGCGATAGCCCTCTTTTCCTGTGGAAGTTCATTCAATTGTCTCAGACCAGCCCCAGGGAAAGCGCCGTCTCTTACCAATAAACTTTGCTTTTACTGTCAAAAGCTACGTTATGCCAGAGGAGCAAAGTTGTCCACTCCAGTCTACAACCCAGAATGTCAGTTAATTTTTCAGATACCTGGCAAAACATTTTTTTGGGGGTAGTTACTGGTAAATATGGTCTACCTAAACTTTCACCTGGCTGTTTCAGGTGGGCGTAGTGCTTAAGTGGTATTTACTGTGCACTGTTAAATCACATCTGTGCTCCATCTGGAAGGTGCTGTCTCTCAGCAGTCTGTCTTGCTACTCTCTCATTTAAATATGGTATGATCCTCTTGGATTAAAGATGTCATGTGAACAGAAGTTCACAATTATTTTTATAAAACAAAGGTTGCCTGTGCCCTTCTCTCCCCAGAGGCTTACCTGGAGGGAGCTGCTCTCTAGCACCATACCTGGCTGTTATATTCACATGGTGCCCCCTGCTCCCCTCTACCCCAAGCAGCCCTTTGTAGGCTGGAATGCTGCCAGCCTACAAGGGGAAACCTGCAGTTTCCTGGGTTTTTCTCTTTTAAAGGAGATCTGCATTTTTCCACAGTGTGCAGGGAAAACTTGGATCCCTGATTATGACTTCATTCTGGTAACAGTAGTATGAATTCAGATGCATTGCCCATGCAAAACATGTACATATACAGATTGGGGTGGGGGGAGAGATTATAATTTATATACAAAATCTCAGACCACCTTGCATGCTTTATTATGAACCTTTGAATTGAACAAGGGAAAGGGCGTGATAGGTGGGCCAGCTGTGGGACCCTTCCCAGGGCTTTGCAGACTGCAGTTTGGAAACCATTTTTCTAGATCAGTCGTGCCCAAACTGTTTTGCCTGTCAGGCTGGATGGACAGTGCCTAGGCCATACCTGGCCACTGGTCCTGATCTGTCACTCGGGGTGGGCACATTGGGGCCCCATCCAGCTGTGGGGGTGGGGAGGGGGCAGCCTGGCTCTAATCCAGCTGCATGGGGTGGAAGGAGCTGTGGTCTGGCTGGGGGCAGGCATGGCCTTGCTACAACACCTCAGGCAGGGCTTGGAATTTTAGAAGTGGGGTAGGGCACTGGTATTGTGCCTGGCCCCACCCCATTCCCTGACCTGTGGAGTCCTGTCGGATGGATGTCGTGGCTCTGTGGGCCACACTTCACCCATGAGCCTGAGGTTGAGCACCCCTGCTCTAGATCACTGTTTGCCAGTTAGACAGATGTCAAGTAAAATATGATTTTTTTTTTTTTTCCAAATTTGGATTCTTTGTTTTGTTTTCTTCCTCCTTTCCCCCTGCCCCTCCCACCCTATCCAGTTTGAAAGTCAATTTTTGTTGTTCATTTCCAGTAACTTCCATTCTAGGATTTCTGTGCTCAAAGTATTGCAGCTTTTGAGAGCTCAATGAATAATTTTTTCTTTCATTTAGAAAAAGACATACTTGACTTCTTGTGAAATGCGTCTTTTTTTTTTAAAATGCTAGCTGGATCCTTATCTCATGTTTTCTTTCTAACTTGAAAACTGTCCCTATAACCCTCTAATCTTCAGGAATCTCTTGTGTAGTGTTGCCAAAAAGATTGGTCCCCCCACACCTTCCCCAAAGTGCAAGATCTGAGTCACTGAATCATATGAGGCAAGGTTCTTGGAGTAGATGTGATATCTTTTATTAGACCAACTGAGTACTTGGAGGGGAAAAAAGTTCTTAGCAAGCTTTTGGGTGCAGTCACCCTATCCCTGAAGAAAGGTGACTGTACCTGAAAGCTTCCTAAGAACTTTTAGACCAACTGAGCAGTTGGAAAATAAGATATCACATCTACTCGAAAAACCTTGCCTGCCTGTGTCCTTAGACGAACACAGCTGCAAGCAAAAACCCTGAATCATACGAGTAAATTTTGACTTGATTTCTTGCTGTTCCTGGTCTTCAAGGAGTTTGTCCAAGTTGGATTGCACGATAGCTCCCTCTGCTGTTTCTAGAGTTTTTCTTAGGATCTAAATTCTTTTTCTAGAATCACTGATGGATTAATTCTTGTTCTCTTCTGCCAGTGTTGAGAGAGACCGCATCTCAGTTGCTGCTGTTGATGCTCTGATTTTTAAATTCTTTGTGTTTTTCTTGACAGTATACAGCAGCTGCATTGTGTGCGTGTTCAAGCTGCCTTACAAATATTGCATTCTCTGTTGCAGATCTGCAGTATTAAAGTGGCTTAGCTTCTAGTAGTTGGCCAGCAAGGATAAGCTTGCTGTCTATCATTAGAAGTAATGAAGTTACATGAGAAAACAGTCAGAAGAACTTGTGCTTTTGGTGCCAGAAGTATGGGTCCTTGTGAGCGGGATGACAGCTTTTTGTTTGCTTTTCTTTCAGGCCTATCCACAGGGAGTTTTAATTTTAGCTAGGACTGCAAAAGTGGGGCTAACCCAACATTAAAGGTTGGGAAAGGAAAGAAGAAATGGAGGCACAAAGCACTTAAGTGACTTAACCAAGGCCAAGCAGTGGGTCTGTAGCAGAACCTGTAGTATTCTGATGCAGAACCACTGTTATAGCCATTGATTCAATAAAACTGCCCTATTGAAGGGATGAAGGAAAAGGGAGATTAGAAATTTTGTGCGGGGTTTTTCTCTCAACACTTAAACTATAGGACCTATATCCGTCATGTTGTGGGAGTTCCCTCTATGTTTAGAGGGAACAGATGCATCAGACTATTGATGAAAGATAACCTTACAAAGTCAAAACTCTAAAAAGAAAGTTAGCCAAAATCAGAAACAAGTAAAAGTTTCACATTTGAATTTTAAATTCAATATCAATAAAAATATTCTGCAAAATTAGCTTCATTTTGTGTTTGAAGGGTTTTCTTTTACATTGGGCAACAGGGAATCTGTCATTTTGTTGTAAACAGGTCTTGCTTTGTCTAAATCTTAACTGGAATTGTTGCCTTGAATTCTTTAGTTAGCAAGGAAAATATATCGTGTGTGGCACTAAACGCCTTTTTAAGGAGTATGGTGCATAGAAACCCAAGCAGAAGATGTTTTTACCTTCATGTGTGTTTAAGTCGCAAAGACTTTTTTACTAGCACTTGCTAGAAGATGATCCTGTCTCAGCAACTTTGACTTCTGAATTTTTGTTTTACTTTTGCCTTCAGATTTAAATAAATAAATAAAACTTTATGGCTTTTGCCAGAATGGAGCAGTATTAGGGAAGGGATGTGTCAGCATCACATGCTGTAGGCTTTTGGTTTGGCTGGGAATGTGGAACCACTGAGTCAGTGTTTTTCATCCCGGATCACTCTCAAACAGGCAGAGCTTGACTGAGTCCAAGTCCCCTACATCCCTAGCCAAACCACCTAGTTTTCCTCTACTCATAGGAATGTTATGGGAATATATATCCTATTCTTCCTCAACCCAGATTTGGAATTGCTCATATAATATTAAGCATAGATATTTTTATTTAGTTTAGGTATAAAGTATTAACTTTTTTTACTAGACCATTATCTGTGGTATTTTACAGTACAGTTGTAAGTGGGTACCTGGTCATTCAGGCTGGAAAGTCCAAAGGCAACTGGACATGACATGCTGCCCTTGTGTGCTATTGGCTGCAGACATTAGGATGCCTTATGCATACTACCATGATACACCACTTCAGGCTGAGGATGACTTTGACATTTTTGTTTGACTACCTGGATACTACTCATTAATATATTCCCTCTAAACTTTTGTTAATTGCTCCAGACCTTTTAGACCAAGCACTTTCTGTTGCTGGGTCTGATCTGTTTCCTAGGAATCACTTTCCTATTACAGCAGTAAGTTTCATATTAAGTCTAGGGAAAAAAAGACTCTACATTTGCAGAAGCAGCAACCAGTTATCAGTGTCTGATCACCACAGTCTGCTGTCATTAGGGTTTTAGTGTAGTGTAGCCTTTAAACAACAGGCTGTCTTAGTGGAATGATTCATGCCCACAAAGTTAAGCATGTATATAAACATGTTTAATTGGAGCTGGAATTAGTCACTGGGGCCAAGGGCCTTGTCTCTCCATACAGTGCCTCCTCCTAACACTATGAATAATAAATACAAGTTCACAAAGGAGGTGAGCTTCTTCCAAGCTCAGTACAAGGAGAGCACGACATTCCCTGCACCAGTGTTTTGCAAGCCTGCTTTGTTCCTTAAAGGATCTTTATAAAATGTCTCTTTAAAAAGAAAAGCAGTCTTCTCCTTCCCATCCTTTTTTTTTTTTTTTCAGATGTACAAAATTTCCCTCCCCAAATCCACTCGCAGGTTTGCATCATCTGAACTGTATGGAGAAGTCTGCACAGCAGCTGCTCATGCTGCAACATGGATCCCTCATTTTTATGAGCGGTAAAGTCACTCTGATGTTTTTAAAACAAAGGACGTATTCAAAGAGCTCGGTTTTATGAGCACGTGTGGGACTGTAGAGTCTGAAGACAGAGGGTGGCAAGCACAGATGTTCATACCAGCAGATGTCAGGCTCTTGCCTCCAGGAGGCACCACCAAACCAGTGGGAGATGAGGGAGACTGAAGGGGGTGGGGGAATGTTGCTCTGTACTAAAATAATTCAAATGGAGTCAGTTAAAGGCTATCTTCACCCTTCAACTGAAATGGATAGTTTTAGAAGAAAAGAATACAAACAATATTCTCTAAAGAAAAACAGTATTTTGTTGGAAAACTTTTGACAAACAGTATCATTCATTCTTCATGGTACAACCATTCATCTTGGTTTACTTATGAGCCTGCTGTAGCTAATTATCTCCTACATTTTAAGCAGTCAAGGACTAGGACTGTTTCTTCCTATGTCTATAGTACATGGCACAATAGAGTTGTGTGATGCCTGACTGGGTTCTCTAGCTACTATTGCAATATTGTGGCAGGCCTGCACTCCTCGACACCATGTCCTTTAAGTGCAATGTTAGTGAAACTGTACATCTCTTGTAGCTGATACTACATTTCCCTCTGAGTGTTCAGGCTTCATCTGACCTGTTAGATTTGATGCCCACCTCCAAATCAGACACAGCTATCTCATGCATTTGACTCCAAGAACTTCACCCACATTAAAAGAACGTGATTTAAAAATGAATCTTCTCTTATCTTGTTATTCCACTCATCCTTAGTGTAATATGGGGTGAATGAATGGGGCATCTCCCATGTGCTGCGTAAGGGGAGAGATGCCAGAAGGATGAAGAGTAGGGTGCCTTACTACCCCCAACCCTCCAGCTCTGCTTGCATTTCCTGGCTGCAGAGTCTAGTGGTGCAGGTGGTTTGTGCTTTTGAGTGCAAGGTGTTCTGGGAATTGTAGATCTCTAGAGTTACAGTGGAGTTTGCTGGGGGGAGCTTTCACCCCATTTTTGTTGCTGTTCATGTTGGGAAGGCAAAAATTCTGAGTTTTAGTAGCAAAAATAGGGTCAGTTCTCCCCCCCAGACAGAGTCCACTTCAGAGAACTGCAGTTCCCAGAATATTTTGCATTCCTTGACATGCACTGCCCATATCATTGCTTGCTACATCTCCTGCATGCTGCCTAGTAGGAGAAGGAGGGGAGAGGACTGCCCTGGGCGCATTCTTTGCATGTTATGCCTCTTCATCCTTGACCTTTCTCAGTCCTTTTTAAAGTGTTTTGTTTTTATCTTCCTTCTGACAGGTTGATCACTTTGGATTTGTTGAAAATCGTACATTCCAGCAGCGGTACCTAATAGCAGACCAGCACTGGAAGAAAGATGGTGGATCAATACTCTTCTATACTGGCAATGAAGGAGATATCACATGGTTTTGCAATAACACAGTGGGTATAAATCAGATTTTTGCTCCCTAATCTTTTTACTTTTAGAGTATGACTTTCTAGTGGGATATTGGGAAAGCAAGGAGATGCCATTGGGATATATAATTAACTGCAAATTTGGATTTTAAAATGAGGAAAATGGTATTCTCCATGTAAGTCAGCCTAAAGAAAGAACAGAATTCAAGCTTTAGGACCTGAATCTCAAAGCACTCTGCAATCAAAGAAAAGAGTCCTTGAATTGTCAGTGTGTTGGAAGGAAGGATGATGCGATTTGAGGTACTGGTCTGGATAGCAGGAGAATACTGCTCAAGTTACCTTGCAACTTGTTGTTTCAGAGTCCCCTTCTGTCAATGGGATTTATAATAGTTCTCTGCCCCAAAGGGGAGTTGAGGGTAAATTAACTCATCCTTGTAAAGGCTGCTACACCTGAAGTTGATGAGCACCAGAGGAAAATCTTTTGTACATATTGTAGTTTAGGGGTTAGATCCTGTTTGTCTGTGCTTGTCTAAATGGCATATATCCAGCTGCAGAAGCACAGGTTTTGAACTCGTATACACAGTTTGTAATCTTATTCTGAGTCACGTATGGCAGTGCAAGTCTCCATGTGGCTACCTGTGCTCTGGCTGGGCGTCTGTGCTCTGGTGTGGTGCCACATGCTCACCCAGGTATGCATGTCCCAGTTCAGTCTCCAAATTGTTGCTGGCCAAAAACTCATGACTGTCCTAATTCTTCCATTCGTTTCTGGCAGGTACACAACCAGGTAAGTGTTATTTAGATATGAGAATTCATTTTGTAACTTAATTTGAGTCCCAATGCACTTAGTTCTGGCAGCGCATACTGGGCAGTGCTCTTGGCAGAATTTGGTGGATACATTTTTAGTTTAGGAATGCATTATTTTCATTGTCGTTCATACCAGTCTGTGTGTGTGTGTGTGTGTGTTTTTTAATTGTTAGACAATACTTGAATAAGAGTAACTGAGTTGGTGGAATTCTTTCTAATCGAGGCGTAGGGGTTTAACAGTACATTCAAATGATAATTCACTCTTCATTAAACACTTTTTCTTCCCCTAGGGTTTTATGTGGGAAGTGGCTGAAGAGCTTAATGCCATGTTAGTATTTGCTGAACATAGATACTATGGAGAATCCCTGCCCTTTGGAAACAAGTCTTTCACT